ATCCTCGTCCTGTGCTTCATCTTCTCCAGCTACAAGGCTAGCTAAAAGAGTCCTTAAGTTCTGTTTGGCGCTCATTTCCGAGTGATTGTCGTTTTCTGGGAAACTCTCACTTACCTATAGACAAAAAGTGGAAGACAGGAGGAAATCGTGCATGGATGAGGTCAGAGAAAAGAACGGAAAGAGAAGAATTGGTAATAAAAGGAATGAAAAGCTGAAAGTCAAGGGGAAGAATGATGGGAAAAATGAGTGAGAGATGACTGAAAGAAAGAAGGAAAAAAATGAACGAAAGCTCGATTCCGAGGGAATGAACACGGCAAATTCCGTCTTTGGTGAGATGGCTCTGATATCTCGAAGGCATTCCTGAAAGTCCTCGAGGCATTAAGCCCTTGGGGACCGCTGCTGATAGGAAGCGGCGTCGCGCAGGTCGCTCGCGCAACAGCCGCAGGCATGCAGCGTCTGCAGGCGTGATCGACTTGCCTGCCTGCCTTATCCGCGACGCGACGTCGCGCGGCCTGCTACGTTCCCTCGCACGTGGTCCTTAAGGGTTAAAACTATCACAGATATTTTGGTAACCACGGTATTAACTGGAACAACGCGCCCTGGAACGCCACAGCCAGGCTATCCCCAAGATTGCAAGGAAATTCGCTCAACCAGCATTCTACGACTTTCCAGAAGGAGATGAAAAAACGAATGATTGCTAGAGGTACTGGATCTGTACAGGGAAGACGGATCACTGAAGTGTCAAAACATTCATGTATACATATTCATATTTACACTTACATACATGTGTATACACGTACACGTATATATAAACATATATATATATGCATATGTATGTACATATGTTGTACATACGCAAGTGTGTACGTATATATACGCTCATGTACACATATAAGCATATGTATATGCATACCTGTATATATGTATATATATGTATATGCAAATACACTTTCTCGACACTTCATTGATCCGTCTTCATGGTTTTTTTTCTGACGTGAGGATCCAGTACTTCTAACATTCAGTTCGCATCCTCTTCTTTCCCTTGAACGTTGTAGAATATTGGGTTGAGCGCGTCACCTTGCAATCTCGAGGACAACCTGGCTGTGGCGTTCCATAGGGCGTTCGTTGGTGTCTGCCGGAGAGCGCTGAAGGGGGATGGGGCGGAGAGGGGGGGAAGTGCGGCCTCGCGCGTCGCGACGCGAATTATAGCGCTTAGCCGCGGCGCCCTTGCATATATGCACAGTAGATATGTATATACATATATATGTACATACACACGTATATATATGCTTATGTATACATACATATACGTGTATATATGCATATGCATGTGTATATATACACGTATATGTATATGTACACGTTTAGTGTCGAGTGAGGTTCTTCATTTAAGCGATGGTTCACCGAAAAGAAGGTTCTACTGAGGGGAAATAGAGACGAATACCCACAGCGAGGACAAACGACTGTAGAACGACCGACTTGGATCATCGGCACTGAGGAGGATGAAAATTTCGCGAGCTTAGCGGGACATAAGAGGCTCTCCATAACCTCGGGATGGGGTTTAATCAATAAAGAAGTATGACCGACTGCGTTAGACTAGAGTAACTTCCAAAGATCAGGGCCAAAAAAGAGCAACTCGCACTCCACTTGCAGGAGTGCAAGGCTTGAATAACGGAAGCTTGCAAACTTTTGGGGCTAAGATGACTGGCGTTGCGACAACTCTGAAAGATGCGTCATATATGAATCTTCTGGGCATCGTAGACTGTATAATCAACGAGAATTTTTCTCTCATTCAAACCCTTTAGCGGTGGCATAATCATACGAATACATATCCACTAATGTTGAGTGATGCGCAAACCTCTGAACGTCGGACGGGATTCGAACCTCCATTTCTTTCCTTCCGATGACGGTCCTAACTGTTGCACTATCGGCGCTCGTTCTGCCATCACTCTTTCTTCTACACAATTATATCATCGATCTGTTAGCAATCAGCCGTCAATGATATGCCTAGAGAACAGTCGATGGTTCAATCCCTCGCCCGAAACTAACCAGCTCCTCCATTGGAGCTGATACGGTTATCGAACCCAGTCTAGCTAGCCCAGTTAGAACTACCGGTTCATCGTACGTTGACTGAGTGGAAGTTCTACCTAGTTTCATCTTTTGTGGCCTATCGACACACCGATCAGGGTTTAAGCGTTATCAATAGCCCTGGCACTGATTTGCCTAGGAATGGAGTAATTGGCTAGCTTTGAGCGAGGGATTGAACCGGTGTCCATCCTTTTCGCATCGTAATGCCCCTCCAGCCACATCATTTGTAATCCAATAGGAACTACCGGTTCTTCATTTGAACGATGCCCACCGACGATGAACGAGAAAAGATTCGAGCCGAAGACCAAAGAAGACTCGAATCCACAGGGAGGAAAAACGACTGTAGGGGACGATCGATTCGAACCGTCGGCTCTGAAGAGGACGAAGACGTCTAGACGTTCGCCGAATAAGCCTTATTAATCAACCACGTGGTGATCCCCAATTTATAGAGAAAATCTCAAGAACGAGGTAAACACGGCGAGGACATGAATATCTATTATCAAGTACCATCGAGAACCATAAAGATTAGATCCAAGCATCATATCTCAAGCCTCTCATGGGCCTGTTTTGGCACCTATGAGGTGCTGAACACGTGTTTCGGCCTTACAACCTCATCAGTAGCACGGTACCTTTCGGCTCAATAACTTCGTCGTAAGGGGACATACCCTCTACATATAAAGGAATCGACAACGAGTTATTTACACTCCACGCAAGGTAACAAAAACATCGTGGCGTTCTTTCAGAGTGATTGATTGCCGATTGTCATTTACCTGGCTTACGGCTACCACACCATTATACATATACGCACATATACGTGTATATACCTATATATAAATATATGCATGCATATATACATTTACGTATGCATATGTATAACCAACCCATCTCAATCGACTGCTGAGACCTCGCTCAAAACATATTTTATACATCCAAACAGCATGTCTCAAGCCTTTTCAAGCGAGATCTCAAAATAGTCGATTGAAAGTGTTGGTATACATAAATATATACGTACTGGCGTAAAAGTCGCTAGCCAAGCATACGACAATTGACAATCAATTGCTCTGGAAGAACGCCACGGTGATCCTTTCACCGTACGTTGGGTGTAACTAGTTCAGCGTCGATTCCTCTATTTAGGGGTATATCCCCTACAAGGATCTGACTGAACCGAAAGGTGCCGTGCTACTGATGAGGCTGACAGGGTCAAACACGTGTCTAGCACTCTATAGATGTCATAACAGGCCTCATGGAAGATCTGAAATATGCTGTCAGAATGCCTCAAAAAAGTAAAAGCCTAAAGGATGAAGCTCTCGGCGTTGACTGATGCTTGAGGGATCTGTCATGCATTCGTCTTCTGTCTCGAGCTTCGTCTGTGCTTCAAAAAATAAAGAAAAAACATATTAATGAATAAATACATAAAAATCAGATGGTAAGACATGAGGCCCGGTTGATTCCGACAGATTCGAAGGCCAAAGAGTGACCGGCTAGACTAGCAAAAAATTTCGAAAATAATTGTAAGACACTTCGTGCGCATCACAGGTGCAATCAACCGGATATATAAGAGTTTATACATTAGAAAATTGATTCCGGAAAGAAACTCCTCGAAAAAATCATCCTCGGGACCATCGAAACGTGGGAAATCCAGGGCACCTCGGACAACGCCGAACAAAATCGACGTGATCAAAGTAATTAAACGCGCTCCAATCGTCATTGGCGACCCACGGAAATGGAGCAGTTAATGCAGAAACGCGCCCTAATCGTTATCGGTGATGACCTACTCCGAAGTGGAGCAGTCGATGCAGAAACGCGCTCTAATCATTATCGGTGACCTAACTGAACTGGAGGAGCTGATGAAGAAACGTGCTCTAATCGTCATCGATGACCCGTGGAAATATTCCCTCAACTAGTGTACTACTTGCAATTTGTAGACCGTTGATCCTCTCGAATATTGACTGATATCGATTTTTTGTGCCTCAGTTATCGATTTTATTGATCTGGTCGATCGTTGCAATTCTCGAGACGGATCCCAGCACTTCTTGGATTCGACTCGTGGCTTTGCGTTCCCCGTCCACAAAGATCTGCGAGCGGTTCTCACGTCGTTTCTTCGACTTCGTCATTTTTATCGGTGACGTAGATTGCTGTTGGAAATCTCCCTGCAGTCTTAGAGTACCTCGGGGATTAAGGCCTTCCAAAAGCGTCCGTCGATCGATTGCAAGAAGTGGTAGAGTAGCCGGACCGAACTAGCACTTTGTTCCCTCTTAATCTGCACCGTTAGCCATTCGGACAGCCTTCCCTTCCTTGAATTGACCTATATTTTCTGATCACGACTTAGAAAAGAAGACGAAGACGTCGACATGCTAGAAGAATAAAGTTTCTTTGTGACAGCCTAGTGCTATTGACTTAATTATCATATAATATTGCTATTAGGTTGGCAACTAATTTTTGTGCTTTCTTTGTTATTTAATTACAATAAATTAGTGGGTGCCGTAGCCGAGTGGTTGTGGTGCTCGTCATGGCGTACGTAGAGCGAGCACCACCGCCCCACTTCCCCCAGCTCTCTCCGGCACTCAACAACCATGCCTTATGGAACAACACAGACAAGCTATCCTCAAGATTGCAAGGAGATTCGCTCAATCAGTATTCTACACCGTTAAGAAGAAGACGATTGAATGCTATAAGTACTGGTATCCGCACAGTGAGGTGAAAAAAAAAGCCTTGATAACGGATCAAATAAAGTGCCAAAGTACAAGAAAATAATTTCTTGATTTGCCGCGCTTGACGTGATTCGAAAGCTCGTGATCTCAGAATTCTAAGTATGTGAGCCACTCTACTTCTTGAATTTAATTTCCTAAGTTTTTGCGCCAGTACATGTGTTCAAAGTCTACCTAAGATAATTGATTGATGAAGAAAAACCCGGCCTCAGGCGGGAGTTGAACCCGCGTTTCACCCATACGGGAGGCGCGTGCTACCACTACATAACAGAGGCCTCCGTTTGCCCACCAGTTATTCTTAATACCTCTCTATCATAGCCATCAGCCGCCACCAACCTTCAGCAGATTTGGTCTAGTAAGCAGATCTCTAAGACAGATCAGTGCTGAAGAGATTTTGAAGAATTAATGTTGGGTAGGCGGTGGCCTTGGGCGTGAAGGGGTAGCACGCGCCTCCGGTATGGGTGAAACGCGGGTTCAACTCCTATCTGAGGTCGAGTTTTTGCCTACCGTGTTATTCCCATAGGTGTATCGAATTTTCTTTTATCTTAGAATAAATGCTTCAGGGTTTAAGATTTGTGAACGTCTTTTGCATGAATCTCTTGGGTCATTCTGCCACCGAAGCGACATTAAGCTGTATGAAGCGCTCATTCGCAAAGCATTTGATCTACGAACTGTACAATGATGGTCAAAAAATTTGGTGAAGGCGGCATTAACACGTCAAATTCGGCCGCGACGCTTTATCAAACAGGCGTCAGGGCAATGCTAATTCATCGACCTTCTAGCCCAAATATTGCTCCGAGCAATTGCCAACTTTTCCGATCTCTGTAACGTTCCTTTTTAAAAAAAACGCTTTGCCAAGTTAATGATGTATAAAGCCCATCTATTTATTCTAAAGTAAAAAGAAGCACTACTGCTAGAAAAAATAAGGTGGCTTGCATATGCAGAATATCGAGATCACGAGCTTTCGAATGACATCAAACACGATGAAAAGGCTAGTAAATCACTAAGGAAATTTAATAAATAAATTTATTGTAGGTAATTGAAAACATTCGGGTTTTCGCTTTCTACATCACCCTTGAGCAGTCGGTTGATTTTCTTTCCAACCTCTGCTTTTCATTTCGGCCTAACACCATCTCCGAATCAAATAGCAACCGGCCGAAGACCCCTCGCCGAAACCCAATCCTTGGAAACTTCATCATGAAGTCCTGAGAAAGCCCTTGCAAGGTCACGTCAGGAAAGCAAGGAATATCATATGCACGACCAGCAATTACCATTTGAAATATGTCCTGGGGCCCACACAACTAGTGACGGACCATCTAAGTATCTAGATAAGTAAATAAGTAATCAAAAATAACCAAAAAGAGGGCCACAGAATTAGACGGATCAAAATAAAGTATATGGAGAAAAATGTCTGGAGTTCATTTTTCTACACGTTACGAACCTCTCTCACTGTAATAAGCTGAGCAGTTTTTACCGAGGCTCAGGCAGCGCGATCTTAAGTAGTGAACGCGAAGTCTGGCACAGACCACGCTTATTCATGTTCTATAACCCCGCGAGTTCGCATCCCACTCAGCTAGTGTAATGGCGGCGTTGTGTCCCGATATAAGCTTAGGTACCGTTTATTTTCTACTGCCGCGCGAGCGACCAACGCTGCGCCGCATGCTATCAGCGGTAATTTCCAAGGGGTTAAAAGGTAGTTGATCGAAAGAATGGAGTTGCCAAGTCGCTGATGTGAGAAAGGAACAGAAGTGCGCATGAATGTACTTTTCTGTTCCTGGGTTCAGACTTGCGTATGTGTAAATTGTTCCTGGGGAGCAAAAGAGCTTTGAACAAGTAACTGTAGCTAAGGTAGTTTGAGAACGCTTCCAAGGAGGATTTTTTTTGCTTGTAAAGCAATCTGAGGATGCTCCTAGGAATTGTACGGTGAGAGCAAAGGAGCTTCGAACAACTCACCATGACTGAGACGATCTAGGGACGCTTTTGAAGAGTTCTTGCTTACTAGGCGATGTGTGGACTCTTTTTAGGAAGATATCAGATGCCTTGGGTATTTTTCTTATAAAGAGATTTCGATAGTAAGGTGGTGTAAAGACGCCTCTGATAAGGAGATCGTACTAGTAAGGCACTTTGTGCACGCTTCTAAGTATCTGGTTTTGCTGGTAAAGTGGTCAAGGAGTACTTCTAAGGAGACTTTGTTAGTAAGGCGCCGACGCTTCTTAGGAAGAGAACAGTAAGGTGGTCTTAGGACGCCATCAGTAAGTTGCTTTTCATAGGCGGTTTAGGGACTTTTTTAATAAGATCCTCTTACTAAGGCATTCTTGGGACGCTTCTAAGAAGGTGGTTCTGCTAGATAAGTGGCCGAGAGACACTTCTAAGGAGGTTTTGTTGCTAAGGTAGTCTGTGGACGCTCCATAGGGAGAGATCAGTGAGGCGGTCTAGGGACGCTTCGAATAAGATCCTCTTACTAAGGCAGTCTGGGGACGCTTCTAATGGGGAGATTCTGCTAGTGAGGCTTTTTTGGGGACTATTCTAAGAAGGAGATTTTGGTAGTAATCGCGTTGAGGACGCTTCTCAAGAAGAGATCAGGAAGGCGACCTGGAGACGCTTCTGATAAGGCGACTGACAAGCGGTCTGGAAATGCTTTCAATAAGATCCTGTTAGTAAGGCAGTCTGGGGACGCTTCTGAGGAGGTTCTGCTGGTATGATGGGCTTGCGACTTCTCGAAGGAGCGAATTCTGCGAGTAAGGCGGTGTGGGGAGGCTGCTGAGAATATTCTACTAGTTAGGCGGTTTGGGCTCGATTTCATTGGGGGACCTCTACCTCTACTCTAGAGGAGGTTTTGATCATCTTCTTGTTGACATTGTAAAAATGGAGAACTTGATTTTGAAAAAATGCAGGTCTCTCCGTGCAATACAAGAGCGGCCACCGTTGGTAGTTTCAACAGGGGAATCATTCAAGACTGTCATCACTCACTTGAATTATTAGATAGTTGATATATTATGCGTTGCGTTAGGGGTTTTTAGAACAGAGTTATCAAAAAACGTTAGCGATATGCAGAATTTTGAACCTCGCGCGGGAGTCGAACCTGCGTCTGACCATTTTCAGTGGCGCGTATCACCACTACACTACTTAGGCTCCTATTATGGTGTCAGAAGTTTATTGTTTGCACAGAATTTATGCAGTGAGGATCGTGTGGTCATCTCTCTATGAGCAAAATATTCGGTAACTTCATTTGAATTTTATGGTCCATAAAAGTCCCTTACTCGGCTTAACCGCTTGACTTCCGCAGATCCACACTGTGTATACGGGGGTTTGAGCTAGTGGGTCCGCGGAAGTCAGCCGGTCAAGAACCGTTCCCTTAAACTACACATGAGCAAAGAATTGGGGTGCTTCATGGGCAGCATTCACCTTAGATCATTGGAACAATGTCGCCACGACTTGCTCAAGAGTCGAATGGATTGAATATTCTTCTTGAAAAACGAGCCAAATTCGAAGCCTTATTTGACCTTCGGATCCACGATTCCACTTTTGAAGGCTCACGTGTTATCCATTACATTATCGAAGCCCGTGCCCTATTCTTCCCTCAGCCATTCTTTTTATTCACGTAAATTTCACATTCAGATGAGTAAACTTTACAACGTAAATTTCCTGCCTATCCTACTGTATTAGACATAACCATAAACTTGGGTTTTTGAACGGCCGTTTCGTGAGATTGCCGACTCAGCACCTTTTCCATTCGTTTCTTTGTCTCACGATCATCGATCATGAAAGCCATATTTTGCCAATTTTTTCCAGATTTTTTTCGATTTGATATTGGACTAATTTTTTTTCCGTTTCGCTGGTCGTCCAGATCAAGTTGCACGATCAGCGAAGTTCTATATGTTTCTTAACCGTTTGGGGACCACGAGGTACGAAGCGCTACGTCGCGTTTCACTCAGTTGCTATGGTGGCGGCGTCGCGTCTCGGGACAAGGCAGGCAAGCTACATCTGCTCATAGATCGCCCATGCAGATGCTACCTGCCTGAGTACCGCTGCAGGCGGCGATTCGACGCTGCCTCCCTATCAAGGGTGATCCTCAAGGGGTTAATACCAGTTTGTGGGAAAAATAGTCGATTATTAACTTTGCTGTCGTTATAAAGCTAAGGGCAACGTGATCTCCGTAAGTCAACGAGATTGTCGTGGCATTTGAATCGGGTGTCAAATTCGTTGAAAAAACCTTTTGGTTACCCAGGGACGTCAATTATGAACTCACAATTTCCTTCTGTATGTTCTGTCAGCACAAGAGAATAGTTGTTTCGGTGGCAAAGAATTTAATATAGGTGGTCATGGTCTATTCATCTGATTTACTGATTGGCCGCCAAAAAGTACTGCGGTAGGGGCTCGAACCAGGGCATCACTTTCTTAACCGCTTCACCAATTTTCTTTCAGCTGCTCATGTACTAATTTAAAATGTTTTAAAGTATTGTTATCTTCTTGCGAAATTTTTTAACCCTTTCGGGACCATTAACCCACAGCCCCTGCATCTCTAATTAGCAACCCCGTACGGTCTGCTCCACTCTCTCTGCATCCATAACCTTAGCACGCCTTTGTTAGACGGGACCCACTGAGTGTTAGAGATGCAGTGGAGGAGGGGCAGACCGTCCAGAGTTGTCATTTAGAGATGAACCAGCTCTGGATCCACGGTCTCGAAAGGGTCAACTCTCAAGTTTTGTTTTGAAAGACAGGTTTCCTGTAAATTGGTGATATTTGGACGTGTATTAGTCTTTCTTTCTCGACCCTTAACTAGTATCAGTAAAAATTATAGGTTCTATCCAAATCATGGCTCCAACTGATGCGTTTGAGAGTCAGAAGAACAAGGAACATCGAGGTTTGTGTTGTGTAACTCTTTTAAGGGAAGCCGAATTGTCTATTTGTCTTTCCGATCTCTCATGATCGGAATATAACTAATGACGTCATTTCCAGTTCACAAGACAGGTGGAAAGATGAGTAAAGTAAAGGAAAGAACTAAGGTGAAAGGAAACAATGCAAAGGCATTCACGTTCAAATCGGCAGTGGCTGCTGGCAAAGCGATCAGAAGGTGACTCTTTACCTCCGTGGTAATCACTCTCACTTTCATAATTGAGGACAGTTATTTACGGCTTATTATTGTCTATAAGAGCGCTTGTGGAGCAGAGGTTAGAGGTGCTCTGCGACAAACATGTTCGATCATTGATGGTTGGTGGTTTGACCCTACGCTCAACGATCACCAGGCCTTTCATCCCTCCGGGGTTGATGAATT